TCCAACCCTGACCATTCTGTGATTATAGTGTGCTGAGTGATTTTGATATTAATTGCTATCTCTTTTGAGTAGGTAGCGGCTGTATGTCAAAGAATATTACAAAACCAACTGATAGTGGACTGTTTCCTCCTTTGAAATCAGAAACACTGCTTTGACTTTGAAAACATGTGTTGTTCCAACATAACTGATGAAGCAGCCAGCATGAAGCAAGATATTCAAAATTCTCCAGGACTTAATGCATCAAGTGAAACAACCTACTGGTGGTGCCTGGCTGGCTGAGTGGTTTAATTTCTTGACAGGAGGAATGGGACACCTGATTCAATGCATTACTGTAGAGATATGTTTATCCCTTTTTCACAGAATTCACAGAATTCACAGAATCATGCCTCTGTAAATGACTCTTTATTACACCCCACAAGTTTTAATGAACATTTCCAACTTTGTCAACCCCAGCAGAAGCGGTCTCTTGAGCGAGGGGGTGGAATGTGGGAAAATAACAGAAGATTGGCGAGGAGGATTGTAAACACACTCAAGTGACTCGCACCTGGGGTGCTGGACAACACATATATCACAGTAATTGTTGTTCAGCCTTGTATGCTCGCAAGTAGAATATCCGCACTTAGATAACGTAAACCTTGGATGGACTCAGGGACACCTTATCTAGCATACATGAGATCACTGCCTTGTTGTTGAAGAAGATCAAAGCACAGTGGAAAACTACACCTGCTTGAACCCTTGAAAAGCAGGCGAGAACAGCAATTTAGAGCTCACACGCTCCTGCTAACAAGGACTTTCTCCTGCCCTGTGGTGCCTGCATTCCCTGCTTGTGTCCCTCTGCCCGGGCATTGCTGCGGAGACTCCCCAATTCGCGACGTATTGAGATTAAATTTGTTCTTTGTCTTTCATCATGTGGTTTTGTGGTCGTTCCTGCGTCCTGCCTGAGTCAGCTCAAACATTTGGCGTAGTCGGCAGTTCCAAGAACAACCATGCCATGGCTGACAAGAAAGTCAGGGACTGGGGAAGCAACTACGATGACTTCCCATATTCTGGGATGGCCCAGTACTGAGGACTGGGTCCCTGTTGCCACTTTCCTGGCTAAATTGGCTCCGCCGGAGACATGGCCTGAATTAGATAACAGGGCAGTGATTACCCCCCAGATAATTGAGTTGGCTATGCGTGGATTGCCGTGGAAAACGGCATCGGATTCTTCTCGTAAATTAGCAGGGAGATTGGGATGGCTGTTAGCTACTGGACTTAGAGCTTTTCACTGTGAAGTTGTTTCATTACGTAGTAAAGTGAGAGAACTGGAAAAGGAAAACAGGAGTTTAAGAGATGCAAAGGTGATTGCTCAAGAAGTAATTACTGTTCAAGCAGAGAGGTGCTATGAGCTGCAAGATAATGTAGACCGGGTGGTAGCATGTATTGTTAATAAACAAAGGGAAAAATATGGGAAAAGTAAGCTTTTGATTTCCCAAGTTTGTGCTCTCACCACAAAACGGTCATGGGATCCCAAGGAATGGGATGAAAATATTTGGAGTGAATCCTCAGGCTCTGAGATTGAGTTGGAATTTGATCCAGACTTAAAAAGCAGTGAGGCGGTGAAAGCACGACCCCTCATACAAATGAGGGGGGAGCAGGAACGAGCAGACAGGGAAGTGCAGATCAC